GAATTCTGGTTTTCTCAGGGTATATGCCTAGTAGTGGGATTGCTGGGTCATATGGTAGTTCTATTTGTAGTTTTTTAAGGAACCTCCATACTGTTCTCCATAGTGGCTGAACCAATTCACATTCCCACCAGCAGTGCAAGAGTGTTCCCTTTTCTCCACACCCTCTCCAGCATTTATTGTTTCTAGATTTTTTGATGATGGCCATTCTGACTGGTGTGAGATGATATCTCATTGTAGTTTTGATTTGCATTTCTCTAATGATTAATGATGTTGAGCTAAGTGTATATTCTTTTCACTCACCTTTCAAAGTAATTTATTGCCATGTATGTGAATGTGAAGAATGTCTGTGATCGGATAGAAACCTCTGATATTGTTAGATGGGCAAAGTTAATAAAAACTAGAAAGTCATGAGCGTTCCTAGTCTGTGCAGTCAAAATCTATCTTCAAGTCAAGATAAATCCATTGTGTAACTTAGTTTTGTTCTAGCAGCTTAAAATAATTCTCTTTTCAGCAAAGCAGTGAACAAGGAGTATGAAGAATATGTTTTAACTGTTGGTGACTTTGATGAGAGGATCTTTTTGGGAGCAGATGCAGAAGAGGAAATTGGAACTCCTCGAAAGTTCACTGGTGATGCCCCATTAGGGAAACTGACAGCACAGGCTAATGTGGAGTGTAACCTTCAACAACACTTTGAAAAAGTAATTAACCTAGCCTGGCCTCAGTCTTGAATGATCTTTTTCTCTGTGTGTGTTTTTCTACTAACAGCAGAAGCATCTTTCAAGTTAAATCTTGAGTTTCTTCTACTAACTCATATTTCCCATGAAAGCCTTAAAGGTAGCTTTCAAAACTATGGCATTTAGTATTTTTACCTCATTTCTTGCAATTTTTCATATTTGGATATTTTCCCAGAATGCCTGGGTTTTCAGTAGAGTATGTGTCTTTGGATATGAAGAAGGATTTATGCTTTCCTCCTATTTTTTCTTTGCATCACTTTAGCCACTCTTCTCTTGATTTAAAATTTAGTTTGCTCTCCTACCCATGATGAACTATGTGCTCTTCCCAAACTTCAGCCATATAACTCTGGATTTGATTGTTATTAGCCAAAGCTTAATTCTGTATTTATGTGTTAGGTGGGTTGGAGGATGAGGTCTAATGGAAAATTCACTGGTCCAGAAGACAGAAACCTAAGTTTTAGTCCCAGCTCTGCCATTACCTTTGTCAGCTTAAACAAGTTTTATAACTTCTCTGTGCCTATTTCCTCACATGTAAAATGAAAATGTGCCTGTTATATTTCAAATGAATGTTATGAAGATAAAATGAGATTATGGATAGAAAGCACTTTGGGAAAGTGTTATTCAAAGGTTATTAGCATAATATTGCTAAAAATTTGGTGGGTAACCAGAAGAGGGGGAGAAAGTAACCTACTAAACATGAATAGAGAAGATGGCATATGTACTGAATTAAACACATAATGGGGAAGAGGGTTGCTTTTTAATCTCACATAATTTTCTTTTCTGGCAGAAAACATTATTTGCACCTTCTACACCACTGACAGGACGACGATATTTAAGAGAAAAAGAAGCAGTCATTACTCCTGTTGCTTCAGCTACCCAAAGCGTGAGCCGGTTACAGAGTATTGTGGCTGGACTGAAAAATGCACCAAGTGAACAACTTATAAACATTTTTGAGTGAGTACAATACTAGTATTTTTCCAAATGTCTCTTTTAAATTAGATTCTGTATTCCATTCTGTTTTCAGTATTTCCGAATTCTGGAGATAGTGGATATACATCTGGCAAGTTTTACTGTACCATTTCAGTCACAAAGTATGTTGACCTAAAATCAGATAGAAGTACCTATTAAAAATTATATATAAATTTTATGTCATATTATTATAGACTTTTAAGGTTAAATGCATCTTAAAGGTTATTTAGCTCCAACATTCCATTCTGGTAACACCCCTAATTTATGCATTACTGTTTTTCTTTTTACATTGTTTTTAAACGGGTTCAATATGAATGTCCATCAAATGGGAGACTGGTTACATATTGATGGTACAGCTGTGAAATGGAATTTTATGCAATTGTCTAAGAAAAAGAAGCATATTTCATAGTAAAGGTGATAAAGTGAGGCCAGATTAGAGAACCTTATTTCCTAATACCTAATAACAGAATAGTAAAAATCAGCAGACTATCTATCAGCAGAAACCAAATGAGGAGAGGGATATGATTTCATGCTATAATTTTCCAAAGTGGTGGTCAGGAAAGGAAACGGATGCTTCTGGTATGCCCATCCCCAAGAAGCGTTACTGGGGGAAAAGGGTGTGTTGATGGGATCTTTTAATTAATTAATTTATTTATTATTTTTGGCTGTGTTGGATCTTTGTTGCTGCGCATGGGCTTTCTGTAATTGTGGCAAGCGGGGGCTACTCTTCATTGCGGTGCGCGGACTTCTCATTGCGGTGGCTTCTTTTGTTGCAGAGTGTGGGCTCTAGGTGTGCGGACTTCAGTAGTTGTGGCACGCGGGCTCAGTAGTTGTGATGCACGGGCTTAGTTGCTCCGCAGCATGTGGGATCTTCCCGGACCAGGGCTCGAACCCACGTCCCCTGCATCGGCAGGCAGATTCTTAACCACTGCGCCACCAGGGAAGTCCTATTGATAGGATCTTGAAAATACTCATTAATAACCCAGATGTGGAGAGAAACAAATGGAGTGAGTAGGCAGATGAGTAAAAAGTCATAGAAACCTCCCCAAGTGAAAGTCCCTGTATACCACCAAGATAGCAGAAATATGAAAAATTCTCAGGGCCTGCCATTTTCCAAGGTTTCTAGCTTATTTGGGGAGAGATCTTCATAGAGCTAGAAGATATCCCTGACCTAGGTATAGTGAACCCTGGAATGGGGACATTTAACTAAATCTCAGAAGAGAAAGCAAAGCCCTGATCCTCTAACAAAAGCTGAACATAGCACATCTGTGCCCTCCCGCTAGTCCCCAGACCTCAGTCTATAGAAAAGTGGACAGAAGAATCCCCAGCCTCAACCACAGCTCAGAAGGTAAGCAGATTGCATGTAAAGTAGGAAGATTCATAAAGATCTACCCTCATAGCATTTGAATAAATAGATCTGAACTGTACTATCCATTTAGCATGAACAAGTTAAAAAGAAATGGCAAAGCATCTTGCAGACATTTTAAAGCACAAGAGAAGGAAGGAAGGAAGAAAACATAGAATGCAAAAGACATAGAACCTAGAAACAAATAAATGGAAAGACATTCCACGTTTATGGATC